AGGTCTTACAGAACCTAAATTTAACATTTTTGGTTCAAATCATGAAAGTCAGGAGAGAGGCGCAATTCATCTGTAAAACACGGTGTTGCCTCACAGCAAGAAGTTCCTGACCATCAGGCCAGGGTCTTTCTGTGTGGAGTTTGCATGGTCTCCCCGTGTCTGCATGGATTCTCTCCCACTACTCTGGCTTCCTCCCACAGTCCCCACTAACCCCACTAACATGTAGTTAGTGGGGTTAGGTTAACTGGTAACTTGGTAAGCCCATAGTTGTGAATGTGAGTGCAAATGGTTGTCTGTCTCTATGTGTTAGACCTGCGACAGACTGGCGACCTGTCCTGGGTGTACCCTGCCTCTCACCCAAAGGCAGATGGGATCGGCTCCGCCCCCCGCGAGAGTAGAAGAGGATGGATATATTACGTGGGACTTTCTGCCTTTTACTTTGATGATGTGAATATTAAATAAAATATTCACACCAACAGAGTCCCTACACTACTCCCAGTGATCTGCTCTGGACTAAAAGTAGCATCAAAATAAAAAGAGGCAAACTTCTGTCAAAACAGTCTTACCACAAAGCTGCTAAATATATACTGCTGTATTTTTTTGTGAGCGTGTGTGTAAACAAAGACAGTGACTGTGCTGCACGGCTGCCTGTGTAAATACATGAGGAATTCAGTGTAAAAACATGGGCTCTTGTTTCTTATGTAAACACACAGGTACATCACTGGGAAAAACACCATCCATTTCAATTAGGCGCTGCTGATAATGACAACTGGAGGCCTTCAATTTAATTACAAAACCGTGTGATTGCAATCACAGTGAGGCAGGCTGCCCGTGCTAATGAAAATATTATACATTTAACAGTGCGTGGAAGGGAATGAAGCAAACCAATGTAACTGAAGTATAATCGCCAAATCAGTAAAGAAAAAAGAAAAATTATGAGTTTTCTGCACAATCTTTTGTGTGCATCATTGCAAAAATAATAAACCTTACAATTTAAAAAAAACAGCTAGAAAAGGGCTTATTCTCAGTAAATCGTGTGGCATATAAGAGAATTATCTGAACATCAGAACAGCATCAATATGCATTATCAAAATAAATATATTACAGACAGGAAATGGCAGATGATGAATCCTTGGAGGGCAGACATAACCTTGCACTCCAACCTGTCAATATTCCCCCGAGAGTAAAGCTCATGCTCACTCTCTCTACAGAAAATGCATTAGACAGAGACGATATCCTGGACTCGCGCCTTCAATCTATCACACACAACCACTAATCTGTTAATTGATCTGGCAAGGGGAAAGGAAAAGTGTGTGTGTTGTGTGCATGCGTGGGGGATACGGTGCTGAGGGATGACACGACTGAATAAATATATAATCTTTTATAATGGGTTCAGGGACCTTGAGTGGATGAGAGCTTGCTTTTGTTTGGAGTCCCCCTTTAAGGATTCATCCAAACCTGTTTGTTGTTGGCAGCCTACAGCTAAGACCAGAAACAATATAGAAAGATTTCCCTCTAAATAAATATGTGTGCATACATCAGTGACGAGATTCCAGTAAAACGTAGGAGAAGATCATGCTTATGTAGGATAATGTGGGACTCTCTGTTTGGTATTTCTGACTTAAAATATAAACACACAAAGTGTTGCAAACATTACCCACCCGAGGATAAATGTACAGCATGTAAGTATTTGGTAAATAAGTGCAGAAGGCTAGAACTGCTTAGGCTAGAAATGCCTCTATTTGCTTAATCCAGTCAAAAGTGGAGAATTTTTTAACTCAATTATAGCTTTATTTCCTTTTATTTATGGTAGTTTACATGAGATTTGATGAAACACTAAACCTTTTATCAAAATGGAAACCCCACAATTACATCTTATTCAGCGCAGATGTCTTTACATGCCACACTGCCCTCATTCACAGTACAGGTGTGTTTATGGTGCTGCATTATAAGTAAGGGAGGTCATGCTTGCAGGGCCATTGCTAATTTTACCTGGGCTTTCCCTACTGTGAAAAGTCAAATCTCAAATGTGAAAAAGGTCAATGGTTATGGGAATAACGTCATTTAAAAACTCAAATGTTAACCTGATGTAAAAATAACACGAATAATAAAATGGGGAGAATCCGACGAGTGTGCATGTCTAAAAGCTTTCAGCGTATCTCTAAAGTAGGCTACATATTGACATACTTCATCCAGTAAATGCAAACTTGGACCTCCAGGAGATGATACTGGAGTGAAAGAACGACACTAATGACTCTGATCATTTCAGTCAAAAGACGACGGTCAACAATATGCAGCAGAAAATGTCATCAAGCGTTGCTTTACAAATGCAGCAGTGTTTAAAGGAAATATTAGAGCAGTGCCAGGAATCGTGCCAGCCGATTGGCCAAACGTACATTGACTCATTTAAAGCGGTCAGCATCGTGTTAACGCCTTTAAAGGACCTTTAAAGCTGTTCTTTTCAGATAAATAAGGACATTCCAACATTTCTATTTCAGTGTTTTTATACTCTGTATGCATGTGGTCCATGCTGTTGCCTTCTAGGATAAAAGTGCAGGTACAACTGGTTTCATAAGCAGATAATGCACTTTGTACAGCCTTCACGTGGCTCATACTACAAAGAACAAAGATTAAATGAAATGACTGATGTGTTACATTTGATCCAGGTTCTGAAAGTAATACATTGTGAGGACGATCACATTTTGCATCGGTGTGCTTTGATTTTACTCAAGCCCACTTGGTACAAAAGAGTCTTTCTTACTTTTCCGAGGGGAGTCGGAGAAGCTGAAGGAAGCTCAGAGTTTAGAGTCAGGCGGATGGCAGCGGGCATTCTTTCAATAAGAGTGTAATGAATGCAAAAGTGGTTTTTTTGATATTACTCCGCTTCTCAGCCGCTAAAGGGATTAGGAGCCTGATGAAGGCTGGGGTGTTGGTGATAAGAGTCAAAAACAAGAAGAAGTGAGTCATACGCTCTGATCCTTTCACCACCGTCCTCACCAGCAGATTTTTAGCATCCTCCTCTGCGTGACACAGACATCCCCCTCGGAGGCATAAGGAGCTTAGATGATGCAGCATTTTTTTCCCTCCCTCCTACAAGAAAAACTTGAAGGAGACTTGCACTAATAGCAAGCTGGCTGCTTCTTGTTGACTTGTCAAGCATTTAATATGAAGAATCTGCCTAAGGAGAAAGAAATCACTGTACCACAGTGAATGCTAACCAAATTAGTTTATCAACTATTTTCACTACAGAATAATTAAGAAATCATATGCTATTTGGTTTTCCTCATTCCACTGTTATAAGTGAATGGATGTTTATATTAAACATGACAAATCTGAACCAAAAGCCCAACATTAAGACTGCTCTAAGTGCTTGGTCGAAGAGGAGTTGAACTTAATACAGTCATCTTAAGGACTCGGTTCTGGGTGTGAGCACAGACGGCCGACACACCTGATGTTCAAGCCTTCTGTTTAAGAGGGCCATCCAATCAAACAATGGGGCAGTGGCCTTATAGTGAAGAGAGTTAAAGCAACTCAAGTAAAGACCAAATATAAAAGTAGGTCAAAATAAGTATAATGTATTCCTTATATATGGTTGAAAAATTATGATCACAGTTGCATGTTGTGGTTAAAACAGGTCAGGCTGTAATTTTATATGTTAACTATTTAATCATGACTTAGCATTACAAAAGAGTACAAGCACGCACTTATTTTCTTAAGGTTAGAAAAACCTACATGTATGCTGCTTCACCTCCACGCAATGCACGGTTTAACCTGTCATCGTTTGTTGTATTTATATCTCTGCTCTTTCCTTTGCTCTGGAAATCAGAGAGAAGAGATTACAGAAAATCCCGTCTTTCAGGTGAGAAAGTGGGATTAAAAGCAGGCTCAGAGTACAAGCTGTGAAAAATGCTCAGTGTTTGGTGTGAAGCAGGATGTTGAAGATGCACTGTGTGCAGTTTCATTATCCGATTAAAAGCAGCATTATACGTTAAAAATGAACTGCTGGCTTTGCATTGGTGTACTGTGAGAGCTTCTAGGAGGTAGCGTGTCCATGTGTTATTCTTGTTCATATACTGACACCTAATGGCCATCGAGAGTACAGCAAAGCATGTGGAATAACAGTGCACTGAACAGTTTCTCCATTCAAAATCACTGGGTAACTGATTCCCACCAACATTACATTCCCATACAATTCCTATTTTTGTTCAATGTGAAATTCCAGAAAACAAGAAAATCTTGTGATCTCATATTTCATCCCAAATAAGTCAAATCCACTTTGAATAAAAGTTTAATTCACAAAAATACATTGACCAGTATAATGAAAATGTACTAAAATGTACTTTAATAATCCATAAAAGCTGGAACATTATTGACAGAAAAACACAAGAAGCATTATTAGAGTTGGTTTAGTATAATATATTTCAGCTTCGAGAGACATAGAAATCAATCCTTATTTTTCCCCATATTTCTTCTATAAAAGACCCATTTTTTCTGAAGCATTGTTATGCAAAAAGAAAAATGGCATTAGAATATATTATGGGAGCTATGAAATCCCGGTGACTGAGTATAAAATTAAGTCACATCAGAGAGAGATATCTGCAGAAGAGAAGTCCATGAACAAGAGGGCAAACAAAGAAAAAAAATGTAATAAAAATAATAACAATACATATCATAGACCTCGATCTACCATCACTGACATGACAGGCATGGAGAATAGGTGTATGGCTATAAAAAAAAATTCTCACTTTTCCACTTTGATTTCACTTGAAAACATCTACACGTAATAACTGATGCTTTATTCATGCTCGTTTTTGAAGAATATTTATAATCATACAACTAAAGAGGTCAACTTCCATGTCTTTCAAATACAATATTGAAAAAGATGAAAAATACTGAATCCAAGTTCTAACTTTGTTTTCCTTCTTAAATGCTGTTATTTCTTTATGTTAAGCTGTCAAAAAATAAAAATAAGGGGCTGGCCATGTAGGCAGCTCGTGGACTTTTTTTTTTTTTTTTTTTTTACTTTCAGAGGCTTTGCTGCATTTTAATCAGAACATCGTCAGTTTGTGGTGCTGTTGTTGGTGCAGAGGTGGACGCTTCCCGTTCAGCGTTCACACTCAAACTGAGACAGAGGAAGGTCCTCGGAGGCGAGAGACCAGAGTCTACTCTCTCTTACTGTCTTTCTCTTTTCATTCTCTCTGGTGTAGATCATCCTCATCTTTGATAGGAGCAGTTCAGTCAGCTGATTCACCGTTTATGGCTGATGGAGGAAGGGTAGGGTCGGGGCTGTTGGAATGCTGGCACGTTCCAATCAGGGCAACAGTTCTTCATTACAGCATTTCTGCAAGAAGCACACTGTTAGTCCTTCCATAGCCAACTCAAATCACCCTCTGAAAGAAAATTAAGGCGGCAGTGCCCTCTACTGGCTGCTGAGCAGCATTGCAAGTGTTGCAATTTCATTAGAAAAAAAAAATACATGGGCATATAGCATATATTATACCACTTTAAAGTAAAAGCATTAATGATTACAAGAATGATGTGTATAAACCTGGGATTTTAAGGCTTAAAAATAAAATTAAAAACTTATAACCTGCTTTTTGGACCCTCAATACAAAGTTTTTCATTCTTAAACTTCTTAGCGCTTTTCTTGCATCTTAACCAGACCTTGGAAAAGAGATCAAATGTCTAACACAAAGCCTCAGGGGAAAATCACACCTCAGAGCAGAAAGTGAAGCCAGCAGTCCAACAGGGAGCACAGAGAAGTACTCCTGCACTATGTTCCTCAGAGGCACTTTCAGTGCCAAAGGCTTTAGGAAGCCGAGTGATCAGCATTTTGTGGCTTCTCTCAGCTGAGCAAAACTTCAATCAGTCCGTGTGCCAAAAGTCATGTGATGAGGTCTGCCGAGTTTCTGCTTGGGATGTTTAAACACTGCTCAGGTGCCATCTTTCCATTAACAGTCTGAGCTCTTAGCTCATGCTCGCCCTGTGCTTAGTGTAGCTGCTGCAATTAAATGAACGTCTGTCTGGGCGAACACCGAGAGCCGCTGGTGTTCAACTCACAAACAGCAAAATGAGAACGGAGCACAAATAACATAATAGGAGTATATGCATGATGCTACAAGTGCAACTAGCAGGCTCGTGATTCATTTGCAGGCCAAGCTACCTTTCAGAGAGGCAGTGACAATAAGTTGGTAATGAGCGCAATAACAGATGCCCTGCAGTAACCATTCTTATTTCAAGTGTTCATGCGGTCTACTCTCATGTTGCTATAATCACATTCTGGCTACAGCAAATCTTGTTTTTCTTATTAGTCTTACAGTTAGCTTTCATAACTTCCATATGTTGTTGCTCGGTTTCTGATGAAGTATTCATTAACAGACCTCTTCAGACACATAGTAGAGCTCCTTCAAGAATATTAATGATAGCTTTATTTCATTAAAGGTGTTTGGAATCTAGGGCCATGCAAGCTAACAGCTCCATAAATATATCCCTCTCCCAGTGAATACAGTGACAGATAAAACCAGAGACTCAAAGTTCACGAGCTCATCAGGTCAACATGCTGGAAGCCACAAACTGACATGTCCCATTAACTCTCTGCGTCCCGTCTGTGCCTGGCACTGTATCCCCTCTCTCCCTCTCGCAGCGTATGAGCTGGTGGGCTGTGAGCAGTGGAACAGCGAGGTTGAAATCCCGTTAGTGCTGGTTCATTGGGCTGGCCGGCGTGAGAGTCGGGTAGGGTAGAGGTGGGGGGTGCTGGGAGTGCTGACGCCACCCTGGGGCATGCTAACAGAGGCCCCCGCTCTCACACACTGGAGCTCTAACTGACCAACACAGATGGGTTCAGACGAGGAACGCAGTGGGTGGTTCAGCGACCCTGCTGTCTGGGCTGGCTACAATGGCACTGTCTGTTTCACTAATCCAGTTTTATCTGCAAAATCAAAGTTTTATTCCTCCACCCTGGAAGTTAAAAGTAACTGAAGACGTAAGACCTCTCTGTTGGCTGTGTGAACCTGTCAGGTCTGGCAACACTGGGGTTTTGTTCTGACAACAGAGCTCAAAATACCAGCTAACAGATTGTAAGAGCTTCTAAAAGCGACTGCACTCTAACCAAAATACTGGAGGGAGGAAGAAAAAAGAAAAAAAAGTTGTGCAAACTGTCGCTTGTTCAGCTACACCCTTTTTAATTTCAAACAACAAAGAGGCCATATGAGCTCCATTTTGCTCTTTTAATGACATTTGATTGTTTTCACAATATCATTCACCAATTAACAGCGAATAAACTGTTTAAGCTTTTTATTCTTGCTCACAATTAGATTCGTTTTTTGCTCCAATCCTTACGGCAAAATATCCCATAAGCTTGTCAGTCCTTTATTATTTATCTGTAGGCTTTATGGATGTGTACTCCTTATTTGTGGGTTCAGTATACTTATAAAAAAAAACAAAAAAAAAAAACATAGCCAACTACTGATCTGGAAACATTAAAGCAGACTCGGAAGAAGTAGTTCATGTTTGGACATTATATTAAAGTCAGCTGTTTATTATGGTGGAAATGCAATGCCACTTTATTACTGACAGGGAAATGTATTGACCGACTGTGAAGAACTTATTTGTCTACTTAGAAGAAGAAAAAAAGCACAGATCCCTAAAAAAAAAAAAAAAATGTTAAGGGTCAGAGTCAAGGACACATCAGCTTCACTGACACCCAGGCTTTAGTCCTAAAACCCACTCATGTTCCATCCTGCAGCCCTTCGATCACCAGCAGATTTAGTCCCCGAGCCCAAACCAAACGCTGGCAAATATTTGGGCATTTACTGCTTCAAAAATAGGCTCCTGTGCCGTCGGCAAACACAGACCAAACAGCTCATGCAGAGTGTTACATCATTTGCAAATTCACAAAAGCTAACAGTTACATCTCCTTTGTACAGCGTCTGATCCAGATTCAACCTTTCACACAGCTACTTCAGCAAACAGGTTTAGCCTTTGACAGAAGGTCAAATGACACATCATGCAAACTAGTTTGTTTGAAGCATTCTGAACAGTTTACGCTTCACTACCTTCAAAGTTTGGAAACAATGAGGCCCAATTCAGTAATCTCCATGTGAGGGTGGCTGCACATCCTAAGTTCTTACAAGATTTCCTCAACTGAATAGATTGAGTTTCACCTGAAGGAAACGTTCTACATATGTAGTGGAAACTTTTGAAACTGGTGAGAGGTGGGTTAAATGGGCACAGTTCCATCGGGACATAATGAAAATTTTGACTTATTTTAGGTTACTGAAGATGTATGCCTGCAATATGACAAAAAGGATGGCTGCTCTCTGACCGCAGTTTTACTTAATTAGTAGTTTTTGCAGATTCTGATTAACAATGAAGCAAAAGCAAGTAGCTAACAGCTTACTCAATGTGCTGGCCATCTATTAAAATCTCATATAAGATTCATACAACTGTAGAAGAAACAAGGAAACATGTCATTAGTGTTTACAGAAAATGCTTTGCAGCTCCAATCTGCTCTCATGTTGCAGTCCAGACTTTGACGAATTGACTTTAATTATTGCCTGCGGTCGTTCTAAAATTAACAGACAAGATTGTCTGTTTGGAAGGATTCACAGAAATAAGCACTTAGCGTGACAGTTTTCAGACTTCCTCATTACCACTGTTAAAAGGAGGCTGGAGTGCTGCGGCGGGAGAGGTCCTCGCGTTTCTCCTCATGACCCAGCAGTATACCTGTGGCAGCCGCTGGCTGCAGTGCCGTTTTGAAAGTTGTGGAAGTGGAGTGGGTAGGGTTGAGCTGCCGTTTCTTTTGATCACCAGTTTTCTCCAGTTAAGGAGGTCAGACTCAGTCTTTATTTTTGACTTTGTTTTGGTAAGGTCAGGGGTGCAGGATTTGTGTTGATTTGTTTTTGTTTATTATTTTGGCCTCGGCTCACCCTGAAGTGTTGACACTCCCGTTTTGTTGTCAGTCTTTACCACTTTATAAATAAATCACATTATAAAGAACGGATTTGTTTCCTGTGGCTGCTTGGGTCATTGGGGGGCAGGTGCCTCACTCATGTTATTGCCTGGCCCTAGACGGGTCGTAACACCACTCAACATGGGTTGTTTTTTGTTTTTTTAAATCCTGTGAAAAAGATTTCAAAAGAAGCAGCTCTTCGTCTGGGAAACAACATGCTGACAGATCAGGATTTCCCAGACGTAACGAGCTGCTGCAGCTTGCTGAGGTCTGAAATTTATCTCCAGTTATCGCAGACTGACTCATTCATATTACAGGAATGAAGATTTAAAAAGCATTTCACAGGTCTGAAGGGTAATTCACGGATGCTTTCATTTCTAGACATTCACGGGGCCTATGCGTCATCAGTATCAATGAAATAATATTCACTGAATGACGAGTGAAGTTGTTTGTAGACTGTAAGAGAGCTAACGACAGATCAGTGTTGTGTATCTGCTGTTAGGTTGAAAAGTTCCTCTTCAGACCGTTTTAAACCAAGAACCTCTCTTGTAACCAGTTAAATGAATCACAGGGAGCCAGGTCAGGCATTACCTCATGTTGCTTGCTAATACACACACTATAATTGTGTAATCTATTGTCTCTACTTGAACCCTCATTTATACCTCCAGCTACTTGGAGGGGGGGGCTCCATCTCTAAACTGCATGTTTTGAGTTTATACAGGTACAATAACCACTGTGAACAGTTTATTTAGACTATAAAATTAAAGTTGTTTCGACTTAACCGCACGCAAACAAACCCACATGACTAAAACGACAACTGATGTATGCAGTACCATCGGAGACAGCAGGAAGATCAAAGCCATTACATAACAATTAATCTGACAGCTTGTCTATGAATCATGAAGTTGTGAAGATGCCGGCTGCATGGGTATTTAAGACTAATGTGTTTTGAAACTGTAGACACAAACACACACACACCTGGCTCAGAGCTGCTGCAGGGGCTGAAGGGAGAAAGGTCTTTAAAGCAGGACACAGTTGGATTTCTTTTTTGCCTTCTTCTTTTCCACTGGCGTTTTCCTATTTATCTGTCTGACCAAGTCATAGAAGATCTGAGAGAGAGAGAAGAGAGAAGAGAGAGAGAGAGTTTGCAGACAGAAGGTTTAACAGGATGTAGCCCATCTGAGCTCATTATTACCTACATGTCAGAGAAACCTTTATGTGTCTTAAATAAATACAATTCTACTGATGATTGCAGTACACACATCCATCTGTGACTGAGATGGAAAACAAACTGAAAATATATAGAGTTGCATTTTTGGAGGGGACGTTTGTACTCACATCAAGGACGTTGATCTTTGACTTAGCAGAGGACTCTAAAAAGGCACAGTGGTTCCACTGTCTGGCCAGGTTCTGGCCTTGCTCCTTCCCCACCACACGCTCATCCTCCAGGTCGCACTTGTTCCCTACAAGGATCATCGGCACCTGAGGACAGGTAAGAGCAAGCAGGTTCTGTTTGTGCCCACATGATTTATCCCCCATTGTCTGGTCACATATTCCTTGTTCATGCATTTTTAAAATTTATTTTAATGTAAAACTTAACATTTTATTCAGATAAACTGTTCAGACTCCTCTAAATCCATTTATCCTTACAACCTAGACTCCACTCTGTATGTCAGCAGGCTGTTTTAGGATTTAATATAAATCCTACAATTTGTATTATTCACAGCTGAGGCTGTAGTCCAGGTTCACATCCAACACAGATAAATTAGAAGTATACAGGATACACGTATACAGCTTGAATCACAAGACCGTACATAATGAGCCATGAATCAAAGTCTCCTCATGAAGGAGAAGAACCTTCCTTTTACTTTTGACTTTGTATAACTTCTTCGTTCATACCTTTTTGCCATTTTTCCCCTACAGAGAGGAAATTAGATATAGGAGAAAAGCAAACGTGTTTCCTATAAACACGTTTGCATTAAAAGGCTTCAGTAACTTTTCTTTTAGACTTTAAATACAAAATTTTAATACAAAAACTTTACTTTTTGTAAACTTAATCATAAACCTTTAAATGCCATCTTGCAGGGAGAAAAGGACCCTTCTTTGGAGGTGCAGCTGGGAATGTTAGAAAACAAACATTATCAAGATTGTTTTAATCCATTTGTCACCCTTTAACTCTACCTCAGGGAACGGTTAACAGTATAAAGGCCCAGGCTTTTTTATTGAACACACCAGCCACACACACACATATAAACAAAGGGGTTAAATCTCTTGGAGTGAAAGGTAGTGAAAAAGCAATATCTGCAAACAAATGTACAACCCAAGTAAAAGACTGAAGAGATGAGTATTAACAGTCAATGAGTGTGCTTTTCTCTGAGGCCTGAATTGGAGGGTCACAAAGATGATCAATAAAAAAACGATCTCCTTCCCGGTGGGAAAGTAAAGAAAATCATTTAGGTTACACAACTGTGTCCAGAGAGATTAAAGAATCAATAGGAACTGACGAGGAAGGTGGTTTATTTTTAACTTTTGTTTCTTTAAAAGGGAAATAAATTAAAAGCAAAGCTGAGGGGACAGTCACTGAGATTAAGTGCAGCCAGTTTTGGAACCTCCTAAAACCAGCAATGCTGCTTCTTTTGTTCTCTCAAATGTTTTAATAACCAAAGGTCCCCTCAAAAAGAAAAGAAAACAGAAAAAGAAAAAAAAAGAAAGCCTGAGGAGGACAGTATTCTGGGCAAAACTTCAGCCTCAACTGTCAAAGTAGGCAGAGCTGGGCAGTCAGGGTGTCGGGATGCGTCTCATCCTGCCTGCTGTTTCCTGCCCGGCTATCTAGGGAGAATGCTGGCCCGGAGGAAGTTATGACAGCCCCGCCCAACCGGGATAACATCGCTTTCCTTCCTGAATATTTTCAAATGTTTCAGCTGGATTCCATGCTCCAGCTGCTCTCTGGAATTATATGACACAGAGAGTCTGTGTGTGGATGTGTTCATTCAGCCTGGGCTGCATTTCCACATTGAAACTTGGCTTAATAAACTAATCACTGTAAAACTGTATGATGTTAGAAAACGTCTCAGATGTGAGGAAGACTTTAAGATGTTGTCACAGGTTTCGTTCACGGGATATCTGCGTTTGTGATACAGCTTAGGAATCAACTGATGGAAAAATTCTGCATGCAACAAAAGAGGCGCCAATAATATATCAGCCAGGAAAGTCTATTTGTGGCGCCAAATAAATTTATGCATGGGAAATCCTGCCTTCACTCTCTTCTGAGGACCTACAAATGCCCCCCAGACATGTCTTGTGGATGTGGAAAAGCTACATATTTTTAAGAAAAATACCAGTATCCTGACATGTGCTCACTTGTCCATACTCTTTCCCCCCCAGTAAGTCTTCTTTTCAGAGGTTGCTGTTGGAGCACTACCGTCAGGCTTCTTGAGACAAAGTAAGATATAGGGTGAGTATTTTGTGCTTTCTATGGGGCAGACGACAGGAAACTGAGATGTTTAGATTAACCCCACAGAGGTTGGTGGTTGATGTTTGATATCTAAACAAATCCTCAAGCTGAACTGCTGAATGACACTTCTCCCACGGGTCCCGGGAGAACCAGTGGTATGCCCTCCTAACATAAACTCTTGAGTCAAGCTGGAATAAAAAGGAATGGTGAGATGGCTGAAAGGATGGAGGTATGCAGGGAAAAAGGAAAAAAAATGTTCAGCGTCAGCAGAACACAAGGCAGCATTAGCCTACTTGAAGAATCCACACAACCCACAGAATCTGTTCAGACTTTATTAACATGCTACAGACAGGTCGTATCCCGCCCACAATGGCACGCCGAAGATTGGATTGTGGGTAACAGTGAACAGGCGGGTACAGAACGACAAAAATGAATGGAGTTAGTTCTTTAAAATGGAGCAGTGAGTCACAAGCATTGGAGTCAGGCATTACTGCCATCCTAGTCACACGGGCAGAGACTGAGGTGGCCCGGAAAAGTCATAAGACCTCTCTTACATAAGAAGTGTGAAAGGAAATGAAGGAAGTGAGCTTTTAATTCACTAGTGTCTGCTCACTTACTTTATTTTTGCCACTAATGGCTCTTCTAAAGAGATGGAATTTGACCCTACTGTGTTCAATGAATGTACAACCATTAAAAGCCCTTTTAATTGAGCCTGGTGATATTAGGTGCATCTGTACATTATACCCGCTTTGCAGTAAATGGTGCATGTCAGAGCTGAGAATAAGAACAGCTGTAGCAGCATCAACGGTTTCTGCTTTAGCTCTGCAGTCACTTGAAAGATTTCTCAAACTAAGAAATCTGCCTTCTTGGAAGAAAAAGGGAAAACATGCCCAGCATTTCCTTTGGTCATGCATTCTTGCAAGGGGCAAAAAAGGATAAACAGATATCATGGCTATCAAAGGTAAGGGCACAAATGACCAGTGGACTGATAGCTGGCAGAGTGGCCATAATAGCCAGATAAGCTGAACTGTTTAAACTAAAAGATGTTTTCAAAGGGAACAGATTTCCAGAAGAAAAGAAACAACTCTTTCCTTGCGTGTCGAGAAGCCACTGGTCCTGCAATCCATCTGTTAGCCTGAGGCTAACCTCAGCTCCCAAACCATGGAAAGCCTAATGAAGAACCACAGTCTCACAACTCAGTTTTTGATGAGCTGAGGCTCTCCTTGCACTTCATGCCTGACAGTCCAATCACCCACATAGAGTGCCAGACCACATCAACACCACAAGGCTGGCCATCAAACAGAGGGGGGGAAGAATGCAACAGAAGCTGAAAAGGGCAGTTCAAATAAAAGCAGCACAATAATTGCACAAATATAGAGTAAGGGGAGCAAGAAAAAGAGAAAAGAGAGGTATTCTGCTCCAGGCTAGAGAGAGGCTTTGCAGATGGCTGACAGGGAACAGAGAGACGCAAGGAAGCAAAACCAAGAGGGTGGGTTATGGTAACATTCATTCCCTCAAGAGATCACCAAAAAAGGGCATCTTAGATCCTGCTGACGCACTATCGACTCGACCAGAGAGGGGATAGAGGGCTTACTCGCTCGAGCAGTCCCACAATTTAGCAGATATATAGAAAACTGGAAATGTGCTGGTGACAAACAACAAGCTTGGAAAATAAGGAGATGACACATGCTCTTATTTGCAGCGTCGATGTGAGGCAGGCCTGATGGAGAAAACCACACAGTATACAGAAAAATCCCCGTGAGCACGAGTGCTCGGTGTCTACAACAAACACTGATGAAACCGCAGGGACATACACACAACGTTAATATTAATCAGTGCTCAGTTATGCAGAGTACACAAGTTTGCCACTGTTTATACTCTATAAACATAACACCGTGACACTGATTGTGTTATGTTCAGATAATACAAATCTGCAATTAATTGCATAACACAGAGTGATTATAGTGTTGAATGGTATCTATAGCAACAGTCTGATCAGGCCCCTGAAAAATGTAGGCGGCTGAGCCCACGGACACAGGGCGTTTAGGTCTAACTGTACTCGTTGCCACTACTCTGCTTTCCACAGCCTACGTGATTAAAGAAAATTTTAGCCACAAACTGAGAAAATTATAAAACGCTTGTATGCTTATGCCAGTATACTTACATCCTCTGTGTCCTTTACTCGTAGAATCTGTTCTCTCAGGTCTTGGAGGTCGTTGAAGGTGGACTGTGCTGTGATGGAGTATACCAGGGCAAAGCCTTGGCCATTCTTCATGTACAAGTCCCTCATAGCTGTGAACTGTTCCTACACAAGGGGGGGAAAAAAGATGGCGAGACTATGAGCGCTGTCCTACAGCTTCCAACTTTTACTTATTGTTTTTTCTTTTTTTACTCTTTTATTCGCTGCACCAGTTTGACGATTACATTGTAATCTTCTCACAGATATGCAAACTTTGCTGGATGGTTAAGTCTAAATAATCATTAAATCATTTGTCAAGCATAGATGTGTTGGCTCTCGATTGTCCCTTTTGTTTTGACTGGTCCATTTGTCAGAATTAAAACAGAAAAAAAAAAAGAAAATAAGCAATTTCAGGCCAGTGTACGTCGATGAAACTGAACACCATTTTATTATCAACTGAATAATCACAGTGGATTGGTTGAAATCCCAGTGGATAAAGAAACAGTATTGTGCAGGATTACAATTCTTGGATGTCTGTCAGGTTTTTCAGCAAAGACACACACACAGTGCAATGCAACGTGGGTCTGTTACCGACAAACGCACACTTAAAACAGTTTCTGCACATCTCTAGGATAAGAGATGATGTGTTTCTCAGTCGCCAGTTCCCACACAGACAAATGTTTCAAAAATGTTCTTGCACGAGGACACCAGTGGGGGGGCAGAATAAGACTAATGTTAGATTGGTGTACAAAATATTCTAAAACAATCATAGAGACACCATAAAAAGGCATCACAGTGTCAGCTAATAACTGGATGTCATTTCAGCTACTAAAGATCTCATTGCCCAATGTATCTGTGAAATACAACTTGTTTTAATGTTTCACAGTGTGGCAGACCGTCACATCTTGTATCAAATATCATTTATGAATATGTAAAAACTGCAGGCGAGGAAAAAGATTTCTGGTGCCAGGAGTCCGTTTCTTTTCTCCCAGATTGAGCCCGAGTAGCACTGACTAATAGCATCTGAGCAGGTCACGGTCGAATGCAGGTAAACAGTGTGTGCAGAGAGAATCGACTGCTTTCTGACTACAATTTAGCTTTAAATAAATAAGGCTGTTTTCCCTAGAGGCCAAATTACCAAACACTACCTAACGCATTGTCCAATCTGAAACGCCTCTAGATTTACTAAAAATATATATTCAGGAGTGCATATGCCCAGCAAAGCTGAGCATTTGAAGATTTCAGTGGCAGTGAGTTTACTTACTGTGCCGGCTGTGTCAAGAATTTCAAGCATACATTGCTGTCCATCTACCTCCACTTGCTGTAAGAAAACATGTAAGAGCATCTTTAATTTCAGGTCACTGAGCAAACAAAATTCATAGGTTATATTCATAGGTCATACACTGAAGACTGAAAGAGACAGCTAACACTGAGGGGAAAACATGAAAGCAACCACACCAGTAGTATGAAGTCACAGGAAAATATAAAGAATGAAAACTAGGAATGAGAGGGTAACAGAGTAGAAGCAGTTGAATGAGAAAATTTCCGAGCACAATAATATGTGAACCTGAGGAGCAGCTGGTAACAATCAGCTCATTTCAAGCCAGCACTCTGCCTCTCACGGGACACTCACCTTTCTGTATGAGTCTTCTATTGTAGGGTCATATTTTTCCACAAAGATTCCTTGTACAAACTGAACTGTCTGTAAGGGGAGACACACAGAAAGCCAACATCAAACTGCTGGAGTAGCGCATGCAGCCAAAGTGCCATATCATCTAACACTTTGTCCACCTACGATCATCACAACTAGACAGGAATGAGGATGTTCATGAAGCCCAGCTGTGACCAAAAGCACAACATAATTATTCTACTGGCACACTTCTAAATCTGCATGTGTTTGAACTCTGACCTTTTTTATTTATCAAAAAATATTCAGTTAGAATAGTAAAATGTTGAAAGTACAAGGGCTCATCCCCAGTTTAGGATTTGTACTTGTTTAATCATTGCTGTGAACCCAGAAGATGCAGAGAGTTAAGAGCTTTCAATGCAAGAAAAATTGAGTGGCGCAAAAAAAATAAAATAGAGTGGCCAAATCAACACTTTGCTACTTGAATGTAAAAAACAAAAAAACAAAAAACGGCCTGCACATTCACATAAAACAATAGTGGAAGACAGGATCACAGGATCCTTTTCATGGTAAACAATCCTTTTCTTCACTTGGCTGGATGTACTAAAACTCTTCTAGATGTCTATTATCCAAGTCTACCACAATGAGAATACTTCAAGACAGCAAACAGAGGGCTCGCCACAAGGTAAAAACAATTTAGCCTCAAAAATGTTGAATATAGTATCCAGTAGTTTAGGCCAGATTAGACCTAGAAATGCAGAGGTGCCAGTTCAGTGTGGAAACAGCATTTTTTTAGACCAATGAAATTAATCACTCAGTAAGAGAATAATGTGAAGAAATAAATATGGAGAAGGCTTGGAATGAGGCACACATCTCCATCTGTAAAAACATGCTGATGTCAATAGGACTGCATTAGGATGTGTAGCTTCCAATAGCACTCACCATTTACCAGTGATGTGACAAAAGACAGAGGCAGCTAACTCTGAAGCATATAGGAATATACTGTCAGCTCAGATCATTGACAGGCCAGTGTTTCAGAGTACAGATGGCCAGAAATCTTAACCACACTGCAAAACCAACCCAGAAGTTTTGGAGGTTGAAAAAACAAAACAAAAAACACAGAAATATTCTCCAATGGTCAAGGTAATCAGCTGATCTCAATCAAGAAAGGAATTTACATGAAGACAAAACTAAAGGCAGAAAGCCCCACAAACAAACAACTACAGTCAGCTGCACCAAAGGCCTGGCAAAGCATCACAAAGAAGAAAAGCCATCTGTGGTGATGTGCATGGCTTCCAGACTTGGGCAGTATTAAAAAAATGAACATTTTATATATAATTATATTAGTTTTTCCAAGTACATGTTAGGCCTGTGCATAAAAATGGTTATAATGCCAATGTTTCTGATCTTCAATCAGCATATCAGTTGCTTTATTTCAAATCTCATATGGTACATAGAGCCTAAATTATGATAAATGTGTCACTCTCCAAAAAAACAGCAATGTCCAATTTTGGATTGCGTTAAAAGTGCTGTGCTGAGCGGCAGATTTACATTAGTGGGGTAGACCAAGTTCACCTGATAACATCTTAATCCTGCCCGTTTGAGGGATTAATCTGACACCTGGTTGAAATTAGCTGAGCAAAGCATACGACACATTTCACAGGCATCTGAGGTCTCCTGACAATAAAATACATCACTGCTCTGGTTCTGTTCTCTATCAACCTTAAGAAAAGTAAAAAAACAGATTACGATGTCTATACATATAAACACAGATGAGCTTAGGACTGGCACTCTTTGAACATTTCAAAAACCCTAACAATAAAACCATTATATGCATTATATGTATACAGGCAGCTAGTTTCAATAACACAGGCCTTGGAGATAGATTAAACCCTTGTCAGCAAACAAGCATGTTCTCAATAAATCCTTTAGGAAAAAATTTAAACAGTCAAAAGACAGTTTCATCTGTGCTCTATAAACCTCCATAATTAAAAATGTTTCACCACATGCTTTCCTTCAAAAGCTAGCAAAGCCTCTTGCTGTTTTATTGACAATTATCTACAAAGTCTTTAGGGAACACATGGCAGGAGTAATAGAGGCAGGAGACGCAGGAAGAGGATTGGAAGGCCATACTCACCAAAGCAGACTTGCCCACACCTCCAGAGCCTAACACCACTAGCTTGTATTCACGCATGGCGGGATTGCTTCACTGGACAGCCCAACAGTCTGCACTGGACAAACAGGGAAAAATAAAAATTGGACAAACAAAATGAGCAAAGGTGTGAAAAAACAGTGGGGAAAAAGCAAAAAAGCAATCTCTTTTCAGGCAAATCAAAGGGATTTTTTTCCTGTCTGGTCTTTGAGTTTTTCCCCACTCCAGAAAGAAAGGATTCTAGTCATTCCTGGAGGATATAGAGGAGAAGCAGGACAACAATGGAGGGAACACCCATAAGTGGAGCTGCTTCAGGGTGGAGGAGGTGAAGAGTATGTGACCCCCTCTCTAACAAAAACCAGCTGTGATGTGTATGTGTAGGGGGGAACTGAAGGAGAGAGATGATGATACATTGATCTGGCAGATATTCCTCGCAATGACACAATCATTTGGCTTTCACACACACCAAAACACACCCTGCTTACAGATTTGTTAGTCACTGAGTCAATTTTTGGTTTTATAAAACAGCAATATGGTGGCGGTCTCCTTCGCTTATGACAGAAAACAGCTGAGGGAAGTGGAAAATGTGATGGAAGGAAATTGTGAAGTAAAAATATCCCTTTAAGAAACAAGGAGGTTACGAATCACTGGCACACACTGTGGCGTAAAGTCAGATTGGGTAGCCAACTGGGTCACTACAAGCTGGGCTACAGACTCAGAAGGGGTTTAGATGTAGCTAAGCAATGTGGGGATTTCTGATTCCTTATCTACTGATCTAACTTCATATCAAGCAGTGTCTCAGGGTTTTTCCTGGCTCAGAACAGGCCTGTGATGAGTGTCTACGCACAGCAATAAGAATAAACTCTGTGTACTTTAAAAGCAATCAGGCTGGTACCTTATTTGGCTGAAATCTTTGTTACTTCTCAACATTTTATACACAAACATGTCTATTATAGTTGAGGAAATTAAACCCCCATTAACAAAGCTGGTTTAGAAAAAAACAATATTTTAAATAGGAGGAGATTTTCCAGTAATTGTCAAAGCTGCAGTCAAAAAAAAGACATTCAACTTGAAATATAAACAATATTCTAAATTACTGATACAACCACAAAATGTGGTAGGGATGTATTTAGAGAACACTAAAACATTTTAATATCGGTTTTCTTCAGAGACACGGCAGCTGACTGCCAGCTTATGTTTTAATGAACCAAGCGCTTTTGGATCAAGGGCTAAAAAGTGCCGCTTGTTGACATCAAGGCTGTAACGAAAAAAATAAATAAAAATCAGATAGTAGCGCATGCTGAAATTAGGTCCCAAGGACAACTATATAGCCTCGATTAATCATCAACTCTTTTGCAAACATCAAAAGCCCAATCATCAGCTACTCTGGAAGCAGATGATCCTCTTCTGCACTGCTTTTTTTAAAATAGCACACGCTAAACAAACTCTCAGGGGGAGTGGTCAAAGGACGAAGGACCTCCAGTTTCAATCACAAGCAGGGACCATGTGGGACATGAAGGCCAGAGTGTGCATAATTCATATTCTCTAATCCTCTGCACTCAAAGAGAAGTTCTCCTTGCATGATTAAGGGAGAGGAGCCAATGGGCGGTGAAGAAAAAGAACAGGGATGCACGAGTGCTATCCAAACGCGCGCCCCTGTACGCTCATGTAAACATTCAAGCACAAAGTCAAGTGCATGCAGTGTGTCACATATACAATGTGGTACAGACAATGTCACACTAAGATTTAGGCTACACTTCACTTGTCAGCTATGTGCACATCACAATTCCACTGTGAATGCTGTGGACTGACCCTTGCTAAGACGGATGACGTCAGGGGCTCACTCTGTGACAGAGGCAGTCAGATTATTATGTGCCAGCGTCAAAGGTCATTATGGAGGATGAGTGTTCCTCCAAAAAAGTGCAGTCAAATTCCAGCTCCCATCTTTACTATTTCAAACCTCAGTTTGCAGCCTGTGCATATGAAGCAATTGTTTCTAAGGGTCCATTCCTCGCATGTGTCAACAAATAAAGTAACTACATGTTTTTAAAAAGGTGTAGAAAGGTTTAAAAAGACAGTTTTCTTTATTTGGACAGGCTGCCTAGCAAGGATATTTAACATGTTATTATCAGCACCGGGTAGGATACGAAAATGTTAGGAGGAATGCACCTACAAACTGTCTGCCAACAAAAATTAAGATGACAATAGGAAAGAAAGCAGCACAAACTACCAGGCAGATTAACTACTGTACAAAAAAAAAACAAGTGTGCAAAGCAGACTATGACAACAAAACAAGGTCTGTGTGGATTAGGGCTGAACGATATATCGCATTTGCGATAATATCGCGACATGATCAAGTGCAATTTTCTAACCGCAAAGGCTGCGATTATACTCTGGACATGTCCAAATTCATGGGCTGCATCCTCCTG